CCAGTAGCTGGGTTTACAGGCATGTGCCACCATGCCCAGCTAATTTTATATTTTTAGTAGAGATGGGGTTTCTCCATTTTGGTCAGGCTGGTCTTGAACTCCCAACCTCACGTGATCCACCCACCTTGGCCTCCCAAAGTGCCGTGATTACCAGAATGAGCCACCGTGCCCGGCCTCTCTTTTTGAGGGGGGTGGAGGCGGCATCTCACTCTGACGTCCAGGCTGGAGTGTGGAGTGGCACAATCTCAGCTCACTGCAACCTCTGCCTTCCCAGTTCCAGGTAATTCTCCTGCCTCAGCGTCTCGCAGCTGGGACCACAGGCCTGTGCCACTGTGCCTGGGTAGTTTTTGTGTTTTTGGTAGCGACCGGGTTTCACCATGTCGCCTAAGCTGTTCTCGAACTCCTGTGATTATCCTGCCTTGGCCCCCTAAAGTACAGGGATTACAGGTGTGAGCCACCATGCCCAGCTTGTCATTCTTTTTAATAGGTGTAAAACACACTATTGTGTGGGTGTTACCTATAATCATTCTACCAATCTCAGTAAGAAGGACATTGAGAGTTTTCAACTCCTTTTTGACCCTGGAGTTCAGAACCCACAGGAGGTGTAGCTCTTCTGAGCTGTGCTGCAAGGACTGACCTTCCTTTTTGGACGGAGTTTTGCTCTGTCGCCAAGCTGGAGTGCAGTGGTGCGATCTCGGCTCACTGCAACATCTGCTGCCTGGGTTCAAGCAGTTCCTCTGCCTCAGCCTCCCGAGTAGCTGGGCCTACAGGCGCTTGCCACCATGCCCCACTAATTCTTTGTATTTTACTAGAGATAGGGTTTCACCATGGTGGCCAGGCTGGTGTCCATCTTCTGACCTTGTGATCCACCCGCCTCGGCCTCCCAAAGTGTTGGGATTATAGGCATGAGCCACCAAGCCTGTTTTTTTTTTTTTTTTTTCCTGAGATGGAGCCTTACTCATTCGCCCAGGCTGCAGTGCAGTGGCGTGATCTCGGCTCATTGCAACCTCTGCCTCCCGGGTTCAAGCAATTCTGCCTCAGCCTCCGGAGTAGCTGGGATTTCACGCGCATGCCGCCATGCCTGGCTTGTTTTTTGTATTTTAGTAGAGACGGGGTTTCACCACATTGTCCAGGCTGGTTTTGAACTCCTCAGCTCAGGCAATCCACCCACCTCGGCCTCCCAAAGGTTAGGACCTTATTTATGTCTTTTTTTACGCGTTTAAATTTCTGCTTGCTTTGTACTTCATAAGAAAAATAGCTACTACATTAAAACTCGTTTTAGGCTGGGCGCAGTGGCTCATGCCTGTAATCCCAGCACTTTGGGAGGCTGAGGTGGTCGGATCACCTGAGGTTGGGAATTCGAGACCGGCCTGACCAACATGGAGAAACCCTATCTCTACTAAAAAAAAATACAAAATTAGCTGGATGTGGTGGTGAGCGCCGATAATAATCCCAGCTACTTGGGAGGCTGAGGCAGGAGAATCGCTTGAATCTGGGAGGCAGAGGTTGTAGTGAGCCGAGGCAACAGAATAAGACTATGTCTGAAAACAAAACAAAAAACCTCTTTTTAATAGGTAACCCAAAAGGTGATGACAGTTTGCACTGCCTGTTTTAAAAGTGTTAACTTTTCTTCCCTCATAGGAGGTGGAAGGAGATGTCTTAGGCCTGAGAATATTGGTGGGAACAGGGAGTATTACGAAACATTCTCGGGTTCTTTTCAGCAGAAGGAAGAACAGATTAGTTTGAACCCTTCATCTTGGCGTTGCCAGACCCCACTCGGTGTCCCCCCACCAGCCGAAGAGTCAGTCCTCGACCCCACTGCCCACAGCGGGTGGGGACCTTCGGGGGTGAGGCCACGGTGGTCCTGAGCTTGGCGTGGTGCCAGCAGCTTCTGCCGGAGCTCTGCCCTGAGGCCCTCTCGGTGAGGCGGTGGGAGAAAGGCCGGGGCTGCGTGGAGATCCCCTCTTTTCTTGCTGTTGGCCATGTGGCTGGGTTTGCATTCTCCTGCACCCCACACCCTCTGTCTGCTCTGGTCACTGTTGCTCAGGAGGGAGACCATCTCCATCTCGAATGGAGGTGACAAGCCGCCTGCCTGCGGGGCTCAGGTGGCCTGCCCCCTGGGGGAGGGAGCCCTGCCCTGCCATGCCATGCCTAGGAAGGTGCCCTTCCTCCCTGTGCTTGGTTAGACGGTGCAGCTGTGGTGGTTTTCTTTCTTGTGTCTCCTGCATTCTTGTCGGTTACTAACTCCATAACTGAAATGTAAACTTCACGTGAATGAAAAGGAAGCTCCGTTTCTGTCGTCATCTCTAGGACAGCAAGGGAAGGAGGGGTGGCGTGGCTCACCCTGGATGTTGGCTTCTCTTTTCCTTTGCACAGACAGACCCGCCGGGCTCTGCTCACTTTGCCTTCTCAATTGGGTGGTGTTCTAAGGGGACCAGCAGGTGTTGTGAAGCATCTATTTTGAGATGTGGTCTTGCTGTCACCCAGGCTGGAGTGCAGCAGCACCATCTTGGCTCACAGTGGCCTCGACCTGTGTTCCAGCGATCCTCTCACCTCAGCACCCTGAGGGACTGGGACCACAGGCACCCGCCACCGTGCCCAGCTGATTTTTTGTATTTTTAGTACAGATGGGATCTCGCCCTCTTGTCCGGGCTAGTCTCAGACTCCGGGGCTCAAGTGATCTGTCTGCCTCCGCCTCCCAAAGTCCAGGGATCACAGGTGTGAGCCTCCGTGCCCAGCCTCCCATCATGTGAAATCCCCGTGATAAAGCGACGTGTTTCTCTTGCAGGAGAAGTACGACATCGGGGAACCCACGGTGCCATCCACCCTGGCAGAGGAGTTCACCTACAACCCCTTCATGAGAGTGAGGTGAGGGCAGGGGGCGGGAGCAGGCCTCTCGCATGTGGCAGCCCCACTCCTGAGCGCACAGCCCAGGGGCGTCTGAGAGCCCAGATGGCTGAGGCTGCCCTGGGGAGCTGTAGCAGGTGCAGCCACAGAGTCGGAACACATTTCTTCTGGGGGCACCTTGGCCAGGGCCTAGGTTCTTTTGGACCCTGGAGTTCAGAACCCATTGGGGGGGAGGGGCTGCCACCTCCCCATCCTCTGTGTCCTACCAGGGCTGGGCCGAACCAGCACGCACTGTGCGCCCCCCATTGGGGGGTGTCCTCGGCAGCAGCCCTGGCTCCTTGGGAGGGCGGTGGGCTGGTTGCTCCCCCAGCCTGCATTGTGCTGCTGGCCTCTGCAGGGAGAAGACAGTGCAGCAGCACGCGGGCGAGACAGACCCCGTGACCACCATGCGGGCCGTGCGCAGGGAGAAGGACCAGTTCAAGGTGCCCCGGGACTGAGGCTGCCCTGCGCCTTTGGAGCATTGGGGGATTAGGCTCTCTTAGGTAACTGGTTTTCCTGCTGCTGATGCAGGAAATTCAGTCTTGATTTAACCTTAATTTCACAGCTCTTGGCTTGTGTTATCAAATGTTCTAATGCATATTTATAAGAGAAATTTAAAAAGTATTTATTCCCATAACTTCCACTTGCAGACTGTTGTCCTCTGGCCTTTAGGCCTCTCCATGGGCCTTCTTCCTCCTCTTCCTCCTCCCCCATGAGCCACTGCAGTCCTCCCACCCACGCTTCAGGTCAGGACCCCGGGAGGGTGCTCTCTCCCTGGGTTCCCTGGCTTTGCAGGAGGGGTACAACGGGGGTGCCCTGGGGTTCTTCCTTCTCCCTTTCCCAATGTCCCCTGCCCCACCCTGCAAGGAATTGACACCTTTCTGGATCCCAGGTCACCATCACAATCTGTTGACATGGGATGAGGCAATTCTCCCGCCCTGTGAGCACAGAACCCCATCCCTGCCCCCGTGCCAAGGGCGCTCCAGCACTGCTGCCATCCCGGGTTGGGGAAGGCTGCTTGGTGTTTGTGCCCAAAGAAGATGGGGGGGGGTCTTCGCCAAGTCCCCTGCCCATGCCCAGGGGCTCTGGCTCAGAGCTGGTATGGCTGTTGAGGCTGCGCCTGTGCCGTCTCCTGTCCTGAGCTCCCAGTGTGGGGTGGCTGGGGCTGCAGGAGCAGCCCATCCTGGGAATCCCGAGCATTGGGACGGCACACTGCCTCGTGTCTATGGTATGAGCCGGTGTCCTAGCTATGGCCCTGGCTGGGCGCTGATGGGACCGTCACACCACTTGCTTTGGTGGGCACCTTTGCAACCTGTGCTTGTGGTCTGATCTGCTCAAGCTCCCGGCAGGGAGAGGGGGCTGCATCTTCCTCCTGGAGGCAGCCAGATCCCAGACCTCCAGGCAGGGCCCCTGCCTCTGCGTGAGGAAGCAGTCACCTACGAGGCACTCTTGGCCTGTGACCCTAGGAGAGCTGGGTGGGTGGCCGGCCATATGTCATGCCCAGACGTGAGGCTCTGGCTCTGCCTGGGGGCAGAGGGTATACGTGGGAAGGACAGGAAGAGGCAGCCCCTCCGGCAGCCACGATGGGGGTGTGGGGCAGGGGTGCAGGATGGAGGGACTCTAACTTAGTGGGAGGGGCACTGGGCCCCAGCGGCTGTCCTGGATCAGGAGACAGGTGATCTGTGACAAGTGTGCTGCTACTGATGTCCCCTGCTCCTCATTGGGCAGCTAGGGCCAGGAAGTGCCTTGGCTGTGGTTGTTTGTCCCCTTCCCTGGCTGTGTCTGGGGCTTGGTTACTCCAGCTGACACGTGGTCCCCACCACGCTGGAGTCAGAATTCCAGACATTTTACCTTCACACAGGAATTGCACGCGTCCATTCTCTTTAAAGATGGTGTTCCAGAGGGCGCCAGAGGCCCCTGGGCACTGCAGGGACCCCTCAGAGCAGGGGGCAAGCAAGCCGCGTCTTCTCACCCCACTGCACTCCCAGGCGGCCATGCAGCTCCCATCCTGCTGCTCACCTTCCTCCCAGAGGCCCCAGTGACCAAAGAGAAAGTAAGTGTGGGGCCCAGTGTGGTGGCTCACGCCTGTAATCCGAGGACTTGCGGAAGCCAAGGTGGACAGAACACCTGGGGTCAGGAGTTCGAGACCAGCCCGACCAACGTCGTGAAACCCCTGTCTGTACTAAAAATGGAAAATTAGCTGGGCGGGGTGGTGCATGCCTGTAATCCCAGCTACTCAGAAGGCTGAGGAAGGAGAATTGCTTGAACCAAGAAGGTGGAGGTTGCGGTGAGCCAGGATCACACCACTGCTCTCCAGCCTGGGTGACAAAGTCAGACTATCTCAAAAAAGTATGGGACGGAAAGAAAAACAGCAGCCCCGGAGACCCTCGAGTCTCCCGTCCTCCCTGTCACCATGCAGTCCTGCTGTGCGCCCTTCTGGGACTGTTCTGTGGGTCTGGCCTGGGGCAGCCGTGGTGCGAGGTGGAGCCAGGTGGTCCTGAGGGGTTGCAGGCACTGTGGATGCAGGCGCCTTCCGAGCTTTGGGTGGGGATGCTTTGGGGACAGTTTTCTTGAGGGTTAATGAGCGTCTGGGCCAGAGGTGCGTCTTAAATCCTGGAAAACACCTGGGCTGTTCTGTGGGATCCATGGAGCCAGTTCTCTTCCTCAGTGGGATGAACGTGGTATGTCGCTCCACACCCTTGCCAGCTCCTGGGGTGGGATGTGGTAGCTTTTCTCGACCTGGGGGATGTGAAATGGCCTCTTGCAGAGGCCTTGATGACACGCGTGTCCTCGGGTACAGGGGTGGGTAGATGCTTCCCCCACGCTCGCCGGCCACAGCGTTTCCTGCTTTGTGACCTCTGTGAAGACTCTTCCCCAGCTTTCTCTGGTGTGTGTAACTGCTGGGTAAGCTTCCTTACGTGTGGTGTTCTGTGTCCTTGTTAGCTGGTGTGTGTTCGCTGGTCGCGCACGTTCACAGTTCTGGTTTGTTGCTGGTAACTCAGTCTTGAGTAGAGCAGTGGTTCCCAACCTTTTTGTCAACAGAGACAGGTTTCCTGGAGACAGCTTTTCCACATCTATGGTGGGAGGGGCATGGGGTAGGGATGAAACTTTCCACCTCTGCTCATCAGGCATTAGATTCTCATAAGGATCGTGCACTGTAGGTCCCTTGCGTGCACAGCTCAAAACAGTTTGTGCGCCTGTGAGAATCGAATGCTGTGGATCTGACGGGAGGCAGAGCCCAGGCGGGAATGCTGGTGGCCTGCTGCTCACCTGAGGATGTGGGACCCTTGGAGTAGAAATTTTTATTACTGAGACAGAACTTGGCTTTGTTGCTCAGGCTGGGGTACAGTGGTGTAATCAGAGCTCACTGCTGCCTCCACCTCCGAGGCTCAAGAAATCATCCCACGTTAACCTCCCAAGTAGCGGGGACTACCGGTGTGAACCACCACTCATAGCTTTTTTTTTTTTTTTTTTTTTTTGATTCTCTTTCCATGTAACTATATGCTTAGCCTTTTCTCCCCCCGTTTCGAGTTTATTCTGACCTTTTGCTTGTGATCTTTTTTTCATTTTTTGGATGGATTCTCTTTCTGTAGCCCAGCCTGGAGTGTAGTGGTGTGATCTTGGCTCCCTGCAACCTCTGCCTCCCCGGTCCTGGTTCAAGCAATTCTCCTACCTCAGGCTCCCAAGTAGCTGGGACTACAGGCGTGTGCGCCACCATGCCTAATTTTGTTTTAGTAGAGACGGGGTTTCAGCATGTTGGCCAGGATGGTCTCGGTCTCCTGCCTTGTGATCCGCCCGCCTCAGCCGCCCAAAGTGCTAGGATTACAGGTGTGGGCCACCGCGCCCCCGCTAGGGATTCTCAGTGTAGTTAGATGCATCCTTTTGTGCATGGTAAATGCTTGTGTGTCCTGTGTGACGCTCCCCACCCTACCACACTGCGGTGATGGAAATCCGATGGTCTGGGTTTTGCTTTTCACACTTAGGTTGATGATCCACGTGTAGCTTCTTTTTCAGGCCTGGCGCTTGTGTCCTTTCCTCCCATCTGGGTGGACACTCAGGCATCCCCGCCCTCGTTTACACAGCCAGCTTCTGTGGGTGCAGACTGTTGGGTACCTGCACCCTGTGGTAGGCTTCCCTGTCCCACGCCGTCTGCACCTTCTCTTAGTTGCTGCAGCTTAAGTTCTTCATTGACTGCGCGGCCTCAGCCCTACGGGAGGGCAAGTATTCCAGGCCTTTTGCTCTTGCATGTAAATACTGGGGTGCTGCCATCTGGTTTGGTGCGGGTCTCAAGGCTGGCTGTGCAGCAGACACTGAGTGCTCCGGGGCCTCGTCTGGTGGAGGAACATGGAAGAGGTCAGGGTGAGAGTCCTGTGGACCGGATAAAGCGGGAAGAGGGCTGGGGAGTGGGAGAACAAGGTGGGCTGTGTGGCTGGAGCCCAGTGAGACGCACAGGGCAGGCCTGGGCCTCCCAGATACGCAGAGCAGGAAGCCCATTCCCAGCCTTCCCCACAGTCTGACTTCAGGAGTGGAAGCAGGGCCACCAGCCCTGATGCCTCAGACCTTGGGGGTGGGGGCAGCAGGAGCCCCAGGGAGAACTCTGCACCGGGCCTGCGGCTCTGTAGCTGGGGTTCTTGCCTGGGCAGTTGCAAGGATGGTGTGTGTCCTGGGATGGGTGAGGGCCAGGCTGCAGGGGTGCTGTCAGGTGTCCAGAGAAGTGAGAGGTCAGGGAGATGGAGAGGAGCCGACTGGGCGGGAAGGGTGGTGGTTTCTAAGGGGGAGCAGGAGGCCGCCAGCTGAGCAGGGAGCCCCATTCACTGGCGGCCAGACCTGCCCTCCGCTCCTAGTCTGACAGAAATTACCGGAGTGGGAGCTTAGTCTTGCGTGGGTTTTCTGCATCTGTTACCTATTCTCCGTTTAGCTGCTGAGTTGTATGAACAGATTTTTTTTTAAACAGTCTCGGCTCACTGTAGCCTCTGCCTCCTAGATTTAAGCAAGCATGTCCGGCTCATTTTTGTATTTTTATTAGAAATGGGAATTTTTTTTAAAAAGCCTTTGCCATGTTGGCCAGGCTGGTCTTGAACCCGACCTCAGGTGATCTGCCTGCCTCAGCCTCCCAAGGTGCTGGGATTACAGGTGTGAGCCACTGCGGCTAGCCCATGAACAGATGTTCTGCTAAGTCAAGTCATGTTCTTAGGTTAAATCCATTTCATAATTTCAGTAGTTAGATTTGACTTGTGAATTCCTTTCCTGTACAATCCCTGTCCGGTTTTGGTAATAAGGGTGTGGTGACTCATGCCTGTAATCCCAGTGCTTTGGGAGGCTTGGATGGGAGGGTCCCTTGAGGTCAGGAGTTGTAGGCTGCAGAGCTGTGACTGTGCCCCTGCACTCCAGCCTGGGTGACAGAATGAGGCCTGGCTTCTAGAAAATAGTGACTTACCTATAAAGCCGCCTGAAGCTTGTGTTTAAAGGATTTGGTTTGTTGTTGTTTTTTTGTTTTTGTTTTTTGTTTTGAGACGGAGTCTTGCCTTGTCACCCAGGCTGGAGTGCAGTGGCACTATCTGGGCTCACTGAAACCTCTGCCTCCAGGGTTCAAGTAATTCTCCTTCGTCAGCCTCCTGAGTAGCTGGAATTACAGGC